TCTTTAAACATTAATAAAATCTACATAAAGATATGGAGGACATAAATTTACATTTCAATTTCCACCGGCAGCCATGTAAATTAGCTTCGAGCCTTAGAACCAGCTGAATCCAGCGAATTACAAATTAATTTTCTATGGCTCTATTAGTATTAGTAGTATTAGTAACTTTTGGGCAAGTAACGAAGCGGATTACGTATGTCTGAAGCGGGGTTTTAATAAAGGACGTGAAAGCCATCTCTTCGGCGGTTGTATATTGTTGGCTGAAATTACGCGTGGAAGTGGTACGTGGCGTGATTTGCATGAAACACGACTGCTACTAACATTTTCGCTGTTAGCTTAAAGTTTACACGCGGTTAGAGGGGAATTTTGTGAATTTTACAAAGTGCTATAGTGGCATTTGTTCACCAAAATGGGATAAATGTTTTCTGTAAATTTAATATCACGTAAACAAGTGGCAGTTTAATAAATATATTTACAAGGTTTTAACTGTGCATTTATACATAAAGCTCAAAACAAAAATATTTAACATAATATAAAATTATTTCATCCTTATGTATTAATAGTTGTAACTACCAAATTGTACACATACATGGAATTGCGAAAAATATTTCGCGTATAAAACCGTTCATAATAATATGAATAGTAATTAAATTATTTCTCGCTGCGACTTGACTTTTTGGATGCTTAAGGGCAAATAAAAGTAAATAATTACATTTTTTATGAATAGTTCTACTCCGTTTTGCAGTAGACCCAAAGCCGTCCATTTCCTTGCGTCGCGTCGCACCGCTTAATTCCTTTTATTAACCGCGGCAATGTAAAGATACAAAAAGCAGGAAGCGGATAGGGGATTATAAATACGTGACGTGAGACGAAGGATGTTGATTTTGTTGTAGCTTTTGTTCGGCGAATTGCAAACATTTCTCCCTCGCCCTTGGTACCTGAGATGTTGCCTATTCCTTAATTTCGTTTCGATGTAGAACGGTTTTACTGACATAATTTAAAACATTATTTACTGCTCTTGTTGATTTTAAGATAAGACATAAAATTAAAGTATTAAATGTCACTAGAAGTGTTATAGATTAATGATGCAAAAAGGTAAGTAATGGATATTAATTTATTCATTATAGACAGGTTCGTTGGCGTATAACTACTAATCTACGGGTCGTAGATTCGAGCCCTACTGGGTCCAAGATGTTTATAATAAATTTATAAATTTTCTGAAACATGTTGGACTTCGTCTGGGAATCTGGATATAAAATGGATGGTAGGAATATCGAAATGCCGCCCGGATCACATACCACCGTTCACAGGTGAAAAAAGCACACAGTGTGAATTTCCAAATATCTAAAGAAAAAAAGGGCGACAACATTTAGATGTATGACGGGCGAATTTCACCTACCATCTAGTAAACCCTACTACTACTTAAAAGTGAAGGACCTTTTTCCATTTTAACTTATTCATTGAAGGCTTATGCTTTTAATAATCACTCATGATAGCCATTGTAAAAAAGTTATGACGAAGTAGAGTCAAGATGGATAGCTTCCGGTTAAGTAAATGTACAATATAAATATCTACTTTTTATTGTCAAGTGTAGAAAATGAACTTTCGACTTTTATTTTTACTTCAGTGAAAGGGGCTTATCATAAAAAACCGACAACAGTTATAAAACTCGAACATTACCTTTATTCTTACAGTCTTGAAGCAGTTTTTTATTTCTGGATTTAAGGTTAAGAGGACGGCAGACGAGCCCTACACACTATACGCACTTGACCGGTTTATTTTACTCTCCGACCGAGAGGCATGGCGCCTTCGACGATCTTATCAAGTGGTCGTCGCCATATCAAAAATTCTCGGCGTTCGTAGGTATCTAATCTAAAATGACCCTATTAAGATTATACATAGCACGTTTCGAGTCCGTTTTGAGGTCCCTTTGGGGGTGTGCGTTTGGCTTTACGGCGGGACGAAAGAATGAAGCTTTTAATCTGTTAATAGATTTATATTTGGTAGGCATTGTATAAATTAAAGGAATAGATTTAGAAAAATTGATAAGATAAAACTGTAAAAAATAAGATCGGACAAAATGTATGGGAACGTTTTGTCTGAGCCATTATTTGCACTAAGGTTTTGGACCTAAGTTAAGGGACCTGCAAATGTTCTTTTGCCATATAAAGTATTTCGACGAAGTTTGATTCATATTTTTAGATTATTTAAGGAAAAATCATTTTAACACAACTTTTTTGGGTATCGTTATCGCACGTAACGTAAGTAGGTGCTGCTTTAGGCGCGTACATCAAACTCTTCAACTTTACAATATTATATTGCACTAAATATTTTCTATAAATACCATGTTTTGCTTTAAATACCAAATACTGTTCACGGAGATCACAATAATAAATTAACATTATATGTATGTAGACAGGGCTAAAGGTTTTTTTGAATGTTCATTATAAACTTAGTGTAAGTTTAGTCAGTATTTTTTATTGTTAGCTGTAGCCTGTATATATAAGATTTTTTTTAAATTATATTCTATACATACTAATAGTTTGACATATGATCGATAATACGTAACCTTCTTATGTAATACATAGTACTGGCGTTGACGTGTCATCATTCAAGGGGTCCTTTCACCGCTATTGTACCTGAAAGCCCCAATATTAACCAAGGGACTCCATTTACGAAATTACCCTTTAAAATAACGTGTGGTTTCTTATGAAACATCAATTTCAATTCATAAATAGATGAAATATAGAAATGATGCATAAATAAAACACTTTAACGCTTAAAATACTTAAACTTTTAAAATTGATTTTTACTACGGCTCGACGTTTCGGATGCTTTTTCTCCTTGGTTATCGCGACTGTTGCAAAGCATCCGAAATATCGGTTTAACTCATATATTTCGCGTTTTAAACCATTAAAATGTTTTATTTAAATGAGTCCTACTCGCGTAAACTTCAGGCAGTATTTTATAAAGGACGCTTATATACAGTTTTGAGTTCGTCCTTATTCATAATCGTTCTTAAAAAAGATAATGGGCATTGTCGCTGTGACCGCCGGAAGTAGCTCATAAGCATTAAATTGGGACGCCTGTGCCCGTTTGTTAATTATATTGTTGACGCTCAACTCGTTTAAGAGCTTAAGACAATACAGATGGTAGATTAAAATAATATTAAAAGTACACGATTACCTCTTCTCTTGTTCTTGCACTACTGTGAGTCACCGTCTAATTTTATTTATAGTCTATGGCAATATGTTGTTGATTGTTATAGTCTATGCCAAGATGTTCGTTTAGTTTATTATTATTTACGTTTCTTAAACGTTGTCTGTTCCACTTACAACGTTTATTTAAACGGGAAGGAATTCCAACTGTTGCTATAATAACAAGCGTCTATGCTTACTTGATTTGTATGTTTTTTTTCCGACAATGATGAAGCTAAGAGTAAGGGTATCGATTTTATCACTTATCAGTACTTGTCGATATATATATATATGTATGTGTGAACCGCTCTAGCGCTTAAATATTGTGCCCTTTTAATTTTTTATTATAGTAGTACATATGTAAGTATAGTAGTTAAAAAGAAGAATAGTAATATTAAATACAAAGGATATAATTTATAACTAACAATCTCTCAATATTCTTAAAATAAGAAAAATAAGCGCCATATCCAAAACCTTGGGCCGTGGTTGAATACATTTTAATGAATTAACTAGTAGTTTTAAACTGTTCAAATTTTATTTGTTTTATTTAAAAAAAGGAAATGTTTTTTATTGTAAATAACTAACTTTTAAAAGTTGTTTTATTATATATTTTACTTCTTGTTCAATCAATATTTAGAATATCCACGTGCATTGTAAGCAAAGAGCGAAGCCTTATTATCTTCTTCGGCATCTGGAGAATGGATATTCGGTATTTACCAGCCACGAGTTAATTCCAGGTGCGACGACAGCTGACGTTTAATATAAGGACATATGGCGGAGCGTGCCAGCCGCGTGCCATATTAGGCGCAGGCGCATAGTTTTTTCCAATAACGACTGCACTAATTCACCATTATTAGTCAAAGCAGATGTATAGAGTGCTTCAAGTTGTTTAGATAACTGATGCTTGTTATAATGATGGTTAAATTTAACGCTTCTTAAGTTACGTAAATATTACAGAAACAGAAAAACATGACTAACGGTTTATAATTTATTTGTTGAAAAGTAGGCCTTATGAATATTCGATATAAAGGTAATTTGTGTCATTTACAAATAGGTATCTACATTCGGAATAGTCCCATTGTTAAATTAACAGAGCACATACCTCAAATCTACTTACTAAGAAATTTTAAACCGAAGTGCGTATTAAGGTACCTAACAAATAAATTCCTTTCAAGTTAAATATGAATGAAAGAGCCTCAACGTGTCCATTGTGTCACATCCTGCCGTTTGTCGTTACCTGCTGTCCTTTATCCATTATTAATAATTAGTTCTGTACCTGAACGTCTGACTCGACGTGATCTAAACAAAAAATGTGTGCGGCATAACAATCGAAACGGTTTGCGTCTGAACGGACCCGGCGTGGTATTGTTACTATCTTTATTGAAACTATCTCTGGCAGCGCCAACCACACAGGCTCAGGTATTTATGAATGAACGTGACGGTCTGGCGAGCAGGATTGTCGGTCGCAACGGCCAGGTAGAAAATTACACTTTTGGAATTCTTTCAACATGCTGAGTATGGCTACTCAACTCGGTGGCCGTGGATAAGCCGCAGAGCGGGGCGTGGGGTGCTTTAAGCGCGCATGCGTAGCGCTTCAGACTGTGCCTCCCTCTCAGTTGATTCACAACCTTCGCGAGTGTGCATTGTGTCGTCATGCTGCGCTCGCCAACTTTCTCGAGTAGTGATGTGATTCGGTTCCGTACGATATCCGTGCACTAAATGTTATGCTTATTGGACGTCTTGGATTTGAACTGTGCATAGTGCAGTGAGTGTGAACAGAGAATGATTTTGCATTGAGTCAAAATGAAGTGGCTTATTGTGGCTATGATTGTGATTGCGTCTAAAACAATTTCGAGTGCTTTTGCGCCTCCCGGATCGTGTCCCGCCGTGTGTATGTGTAAATGGAAGGGAGGTAAACAGACTGTGGAGTGTGTGGATCGGGCTTTGATCACAGTGCCCGAACCCGTGGACCCAGCGACTCAAGTGCTCGACCTTTCAGGCAACAATTTACAAATACTTCCACAGGAGGCCTTCGCAAGGACCGGCCTTGTCAATTTGCAAAGAGTGTATTTAAGAAATTGTAATATAGGCCAAATTAATGATCGTGCGTTTAAAGGTCTAACTAATCTAGTGGAATTAGATCTTTCCAATAATTTGCTTACGCAAATACCATCTTACTCGTTTATGGATGCTCCATTTTTAAGAGACCTTGCCTTGTCTCATAATCCTATTTTAAAGGTACATTCAGACGCCCTTAACAACCTTGGTAGCGTAGTAAAACTTGATCTATCGCGATGTGAAATCAGAGATATAGCCGCTGACGTATTCAGAAATTTACATTCGCTGGAATCCTTGAAGCTTAATGGGAATAATCTTAGAGACTTACCCTTGAGCTCTCTGGAAAAATTAGAAAAATTAAGAGTTATCGATTTATCCGACAACCCGTGGATTTGTGACTGCCGTCTGAGAGATCTCAAAATGTGGCTCTCAAATCACAAACTATTTTCAAGTCCATCTTGTTCTTCTCCTCTACGATTAGCGGACAAAGCATTTTCTGACTTATCCCTAGAAGAATTTGCATGCAAACCGGAAATTTTGCCAGTGAGCAGGCACGTAGAAGCCACAGTTGGTGAAAATACGACGGTAATATGTAAAACAGAGGCAGTACCAAGCGCTTCCATTAATTGGTATTGGAATGGCCGTCTTCTGCAAAACGGCAGTAATTTTAATTCGCACCAGCGTATACATATTTTTGAGGTAGGGGACATAAAGAAGAAATCATCTTTAGTCCTAACTAATACCCAAGAGACTGATTCCTCGGAATTTTACTGTGTCGCAGAGAATAAGGGTGGAAACGCGGAGGCAAACTTTACCGTTCATGTCACTCAAATGCCAGCTGGAATGGCATCCTTAGGAAGCGCCCAAATAGCTAGTTTGGGAGCAGCTTTATTTTTAGTGGTTATTGTAATTTCTTTGGGTCTACTTATCACATTTGTACGATTTAGACCAACATCAGAGTGCGAAAGTAAAACACCTAACACTTTAGACAGAGTTGTATCTGGAAATGAAGTGCACCCAACAATAAATGACCGACCACATGTGGCAGTTTTAGCTAATGGGCAAGAATCTGTGAATTATGATGACAGAAAATGTAATTCTATAATTAAGCCTCCGCGCTCGAACGACATCCCCTATACGACGAATCATTACGAAGGTCGAGGCAGCATTGTTACTACGGGAGGAAATGTTGCAGTATCTCCGACTATTTCTGGTGGAATAGATCCGGATCTAATCAACGATACTCGGCCAGAAAGTGTCTTAAGACCAGAAAGTGGAGAGTACGCTCGTGAAGCATCCGATTCTCTATACCCTTCGGGACTGTGGGATCAAATTAAAATGACACAAGCAAATAATCTAGCCCGTGCCGTAAGTTCAGCGATCCCATCTTATTATAATGACCGAACCCCTATTATAGAGAATAGCAGCGTTAACGGTTCACAAGAGGAATTGGGATACACGAGTAGAACATTTCCACGATCACATGCTTTAACGGCGGCGCCTGTACAAGCGGGAGATGCCCCTTATCCGTCTGATTACGGCCTCCCGGTTGGGTCAGCGCGCACTCTTCGCGTTTGGCAACGTGCCCCACCCGTACTTCCACCAGTATCAGCCTTAAAGAGAGTGTTAACTATCACTAGGCCTTCGGAAGATAATTTCCACGACGGCTGTGCCACAGATGTTTAAAACAAATACCATTATTACGTAAAAGAATATTATACATAAAATTATTTTGTAATTACGAGTCAAAGTGTAAATATTGTAAATGTTATTAATTATATAGATTTTGTATTATATATTAATTTATTTAGATAATTAGTGGAAAGTTAAACTGGATCCAGTTATTGGATCCACGACTGATTAGATGAAGGATGTAAGTGTAAATTATTACGTGATACGGAAAGGTATTATATAATATTATGATCGCCAAATAACTACTATACTTAACGAGTATTATAATTGTATCCTGAATGTTGATATTAAAATAGATGTTGCATAAATGCGTAATTAATGTTGTGGTAAGGTGTTAACAAACGCAAAAGTATCCAAAGATGTTTCCCTCTGATATAACGAGAAGGTATAAAGATATATACCGCTAATATGTACCTACCTATAATATAATACACGATGAATGTTAATCGATGTAAGTGATTAAAATGTATGTGGATATCTTATGTTCAAAAGTGTAAGATTTATATAGAATTAATTAAAATGGAAAAGAATAAAAAGGCGATTGTAAAATTTTAATAGCTGTTGTATGATTTCTGTTATCCTACGCCGCGGATAGCGTAATACTAGAAATTAATATTCTTCACTGCAATTTAGAATTTCCAATTATAAAATCGTAAATGTATAGGAGTTAGTTTAACTGTAAAAGTAAGTATTAATGGATATTGCATCCTAAACTTTTTGTTTCGTGTAGAATCAAGAAATAGCTAAGAGACATTGACACCGGAAGCGCTGTAGATAAGACGTCCGCTGTACAGTGTACATATAGAAACAGGTTGTCAATGTTTAATGCAACATTAACGCTGGAGTTGAAATGTTTCATTTACTTAGGAAGTGAATATGTATCGTGGGAAACAGTTCTATCTAAAAAATTAAATATTTATTACTACAGCTATATTAAATACAAGGAAGTCTCCAGCTTTCTATAATCTCTAAACAATAGATTTAGATGCTATAGTTTTTGTTACAATTAAACTCACATTAATTTAATTACTCAAAAAGTTACTAAAGGCTATAAATATGTAACATAACCTACATTCATCTGGCATAGTTCGATAATAAATTGGTTTTATGATAAATTTATTCAGGCAAGGTTGAGTTCTGACTCACATACATACAGTCATATTGAGAAAAGTGTGGGATGAACAACTCCTATTGTTGTGTGGTAAGCTGCGGCCTGTCACAATTCACATTCCAATACTTTTAACATCCTCGCGTGGGTAAGTATGACTATAAGTTGTATCAAGAACGGCCGAAGATCAAATACGTATAATGTATAATAGACTTTATTCCATTCCAGTTAAGTTACAGATCAGAATCACGATATAAATTTATAAGAGCTGAATGTGGTATAATTCGAAGCCTACTTCAATTCATTACATAAGTAATAATAATAATTTTGTTCATGAAAGCGTCGGTGGACGCGATCTTTTACTAGAATTTAGTAGAAAACTATACGACTAAAAAAAATTACATAAAATATTTCTAAGTAAATGGTAATATGAAGTTCAAAATTTATTTAATGGCTTGACTAGATGGAATATCTAAGTGGATATTGACTATTGTCTTTCAAATTTCTGCACCCACGAAACTCGGGTTAACTGAAATTTAACTGTCGAGCGACCTCTAAAAAATATTCAATAGGCACCTTTTATTTAGCTACCTTTTTCTCTCTCAACAAAAAAGGGTCTCAAATCCTAACTTCCATGGCACCGGGGAAAAACCGGTTAACGTTATTTCATTTCCGCTCAATTTAGTTTTTTATTAGAACCGAACCCTAAACGGGTTCATTGGCGTTGGCTTTGAAGCTCGAAGCTCGTGGTCAAATAAAGAGAAATCTCAATGAAGATCTCTCAGCTACGATTTTCATGTTTTGTTATACCGAGTAGCTATCTATCGTTACAAATTTCATTTATTGCTTTTGTCTTATTTTCTTTACTTTTTGGGTATCTTGAACCGTTTTCGCAGCTTCGGCATTGGAGACCCACAAATATGAATAATTTTTCGTTTTTTCCACCCAACCCTAGATGAAAACATCACTAATTCAAAAAATAATTAAATTGAGTTAGTGGCGTTTTCAAAATCCCGCCATGAATACCTACACGGAGTTCAAACTCCGGTAACGCTAACTTCGACCTTAAAAAAAAAATTCAAAAAAATTAAAAAAAATTCCCAAAATTTCATATTACCTAAAGAAAACACAACTAACTAAAAAAATTAGTTTTTTTTAAACTTTTGTGACAATAGCATTAAAAAGTAGGTCATTAAAAAGGCTCTAGAACTTTACCTATCATAATAATTATTAGTATACTCGATATCTTTAGTAAATACTCCGAAAACAGTTTTTAGTCATTTCTGAAAAAAACGTTTTTTTGAATTGCCGGAGTTTTCAACTAGGGGTGCGATTTATTATCTACATCTATTAGACTTCCTTGATAAACGCTCTAATCAACACAAAATGATTTTTTTAAAAGTAGTTGAGATTACGGTTCCAATACTAACGAACAAACTATTTATTTATAAGTATAGATTTATAGTTTTCTTTATCGATTGAAAGCGTGTTATGGATAACGTCCTAATGTCAATGTTGGACAAATGTACCTTTCATTATTGTGTACAACTTTCCGCTTTCTTACTATATTCGAAACTTTCGCCCGACTCATATCTTGATTACTCACAATTTCTATTTGCTTAAGACTACAAACTACATTGTTAATGTTCTTTGCTTGTTATCTATATACAAAACAAATAATTATGGAAATATATAATTACTAAGTTTATCTCCTGATCCCCCCCCCCCCAACAAAGAACCTTAAATATGGAATGGATAAGAAAGTATTCAGTATTATGTATTATTTTTATAATTACTTATAGCCTTATTTCACTTTTTTATTTTTTGATTTGTAAATCTTTTGTATACATAACATGAATATGGTAGGTATATAATAATATGTTTACCTAATTCTCAAAAAAAACTTTTTTTTATAGTATAACATAAGTTTACCCTGCTTCCCTCATGAAGCGAAAACATTTATAGATATTTCCGTTTTACTGATCCGTAAAATATAACTTACTCCTATTTGTATTTAATAGTACTAAATAGGACGTGTAGTGAATCGTTATACAACCAAGTACTTATTTTGGGGTTTGCATTTCATTTTAATATAGAATATAGAGAAAATTTATTCATTATATTTATATGCATTACACATTTTTTGTTAGTGCCGTTAAAAGAGCCGGAAAACGCAATTTAGATCTATTGATATTAATTAACGACATGACTAGGCACAATTCACCACTGTATTTATCTGTACTTTACGAATATTAATAACATTGGTAAAAACCGTTTATAAAATTATTGTTACGCCAATATAACAACATGATACGATGTCCAACGTCGAATTTTCTAATTATTTAACTTCTAATAATCAAGTTCAAGTCAATACTATTTTCTACAGGGTCAAATTAACTAACACAAATAAAATCTCTAACCATAAACATATAAAATAGTTTTGAAGCTACGTGAGATTTTAGAACAAAATCTATACTAATATATAAAGCTGAAGAGTTTGTTTGTTTGAACGCCCTTATTTCAGAAACTACCAGTGGGGATTACAAAAATATTTGTGTGTTTGTTAGACCTATAGATCAATTAGGAGCAACTAATAGGAGCGAAGAAACAGCGGTAAATGTGGAGACAACGGGGAAAATTATTCTGTTGCGTACGCTGCGAAAACGACTCAAGATTGTCAAAAATATATGTACGAAAGAATTATTCCTCTTCAAATGATGCTAAAAATGCTATTAACATTATATGTCTATCTTCGTAAAATTAACTTGCAAGAACGACGGGACACAACCGCCGTCTTGGCTACCACCTTAAATCTATAAAGATGCTATGGAAGGTATGCACAAACAAATGTTGATGGAAGTCGCTGCATAAAACGTTTAAATTTCGCCTTCGCAAACCCATGTGACGAAGGCACATAAAAATGTAACGTTGAAAATTTACTGGCAATAGGCCATGTAAACAGCAATGCCTTTCAATTTATTTGATGAAAATTTTGATAGGAATTGACTACCCAAAGTATTTATTATAATGTTATGAGGATCGATATGAATTTAAATCTATAAAAACATAATTTTCAATAAGAAGGAAAATATAAATGCGCAATTAACTTAACTAAGGCGAAAATGAATTTGTACGATAGTACAAATTCATAGTATTTGCGTAAGAATTATGTTAACAATTTTCGCTCACTGTGCTCTTGCAGGTGTATAATTTTTTGACTATGAAAATATAAATAACTAACTCATCATCATTATCAACTCGTTTGGGTGCACTGCTAAACGAAGGCCTCTCCTAAAGCATGCTACTCGGCCCCAAATAACTAACTAGCGGCCTTATGTACCTTATCATCCTATATTGGGCAAAGTATATCGTTCTCATCCCAATGGTGTTGGTAAAAAGGGCTTATGTCACCGCGCTTAAGGCCTCTTCGTCTTTATCCAGCCAGCCGTCACTTCACAGATAAAAAGACCTAAATGACCGATTAAGCTGATAGTTGGCAGCAACACAGTTTCCGTTCACATTCATTAAAACATTGCTCACATCATTAAAGTTTCGCCCCGTTTTTGCTTTTGTCTTCGTTAATTACAAGTTGGCTCAATTAAATAGGACATCGACAGACTCCAATTTGAAAACGTTCACTTTAATTGTACACCTTCGCGATAGTTGGCACAATAGACACGCTTTTGTGCCAAATCTCGTTTTAAGCCTCTTTTATGCAGATCTTGATGTTTAAATAACCTACTGTACCTTTGAAATTAAAATGGGTACAAGCATATTTCTATAGAACCAATAATGCCAAGCGTAATGCGGACGAGATATTTCCTGCAAAAAATGCTTTACGTGGAGCTATTTATTTAATAAGAACAGATGTCCATGATCCCTTACG